CTCACTGTGTAACCGTACAGGGTCAGTGTTTATTCAGCAGGGTAGGGGTCACTCACTCTGTAACCGTACAGGGTCAGTGTTTATTCAGCAGGGTAAGGGTCGCTGTGTAACCGTACAGGGTCAGTGTTTATTCAGCAGGGTAAGGGTTCAGCCCTGTGTAAACGCTGATATTTACAGAATGGTGTTGAGGGTCTGCACTCTCTGGGGGCCAGTGGTTGTTCTGTCCATGAGGTACAGCTCTAGGGCCTGCTGACTGAGCCCCACACTCCCGCCTGTACCTTGAACAATATCCTTTGCTCCTTCGGACACATTTTTCCACGCGTCGCCCCCGAACGTGAAATCACCACCCTTGATCTTCCTGACGATCTCCGCTGTGTTGGATGATGACATGCCTTTGGCTGAGTTTTGGAAGGGAACGTGCCCAGAGAGCATGGTGTACTGTAGAAAGCAAGACATCAACACAGCTTGTAGAACACTCACACTGACTCTGTGATGTTGTTTGATAGAATTCCCAGCTCCTCCCTATCCCTGGGAGCACTCTGCATCAAGGGTCACCTTCAGCCAACTGTTAGTGTCCCCTTTATAGTCCCCACAACAGATCCATCCAGATTCAGTTAACCAGACAGTAAGACCTTATCTCTCTCTCTCTCATTCTTCAGTAATGGATCGAAATTTCCAAACCACACTCAAGATTCTAACAAGGGTCAGTATCCTACACTGTCCCCCATCAAACACTCCCAGGACAGGGACAGCAGAGGGTTACATACAGAGTAAAGCTCCCTCTACACTGTCCCCCCTCCATCAAAAACTCCCAGGACAGGGACAGCACTGGGTTACATACAGAGTAAAGCTCCCTCTGCACTGTCCCCCCTATCAAACACTCCCAGGACAGGGACAGCACTGGGTTAAATACAGAGTAAAGCTCCCTGTGCACTGTCCCCCCCATCAAACACTCCCAGGACAGGGACAGCACTGGGTTAGATACAGAGTAAAGCTCCCTCTACACTGTCCCCCATCAAACACTCCCAGGACAGGGACAGCACTGGGTTAGATACAGAGTGAAGCTCCCTCTAAACTGTCCCCATCAAACACTCCCAGGACAGGGACAGCACAAGGTTCGGATTTGGAAGTGAACCGTGGTCCAGTTGCTTGTTGTGGTGAGGTGAAAGGTCAGACTCACCAGGATGACCCCCAGGCTCCAGAGGTCACAGGACTCATCATAGCCCTGGTCTTTCAGCAGTTCGGGGGCAGCATACTCCAGGGTGAAGCAGGGTGTCTGAAGGGGTTGGCTATTGGGCAGCTTGATGCGGGCAAAGCCAAAGTCGATGATCTTGATGGGTGAGCCCTCTCTCTCATCCGCAAAGAGTAGGTTCTTTAGGAAAGAGCAGGGAGAAGCTTTGAAGGCTCAGAGTCTTACCCCCACCTCGCCTCTCAACCCCCGCCTCGTCCCTAACCCCCACCTCTCGCCCACAAACCCCGCCTCGCCCCCCCATAACCTCCGCCTCGCCCCCACAACCCCACCTCGCCCATAACCCCCGCCTCACCCCCACAAACCCCACCTCACCCCATAACCCCTGCCTCGCCCCCCCATAACTCCCACCTCGCCCCCCCCAACAACCCCGCCTCACCCCATAAACCCTGCCTCGCCCTCCAACCCCCACCTCTCGCCCATAACCCCCACCTCGCCCCCCATAACCCCCACCTTGCCCCCCCATAACCCCCACCTTGCCCCCAACCCCCACCTCACCCATTATCCCACCTTGCCCCTAACCCCACCTTGCCCCTTACCCCCACTTCACCCATTATCCCACCTTGCCACCTTGTGTAGCCCAGCTGAGGTCTCTTCTCAGACAGTCTCCGTCACATAATGACAGGGCAACCCCCCCCCCCCACACAATATCGACCCCAAAGCCCCCAACCACTCATTGGCAAACCCCTGCACAATGCTGCAGGCAGTTCTGCTATGAGAGACATCACCTCCCAGCCTGCGCCCGGAGCTTAACAGCAGGACTGCCAACTGATTCTTCTCACCTCTCCCTCCACCTCAAAACCTCGCTGAAGCGAGGAGATGCCACTCCCACACCAGCCCCTAACCCCCATCCTCTGTGCGGAAGCCCCCAGTGAGTTACTCCAGAGGCATGGTGTGGTGAGGTGACTGTGGGAGGGACAGATCATCCTGCCATCAATTCCTCTCGCCTCAGCGAAGGACACCCAAGATTCATTGGGTGGGGCATGGATGGTGCTTGTGGGATCTTGCTGTGCCCAGACCAGCCGCCCACCAGCCATCTATTTTTGTTTTCTTTAACCTATTTTTCTAAATAACCTGTTCAGAAATGTTTTCACACACTTCGGGAGCACATAGGACTTGAATCAGGGGCTCCCAGTCCAGGGTTAGGAACATTACCACTGTGCCACAAGAGGGCCCTAAATGCAGTACTTTTTTTTTAAATTAACCTATTTTTATAATCAACCTGTTCAGGGATATTATGACACACCTCTGGAGCAGAAGAGAGTTGAACCTGGGCCTCCCAGTCCAGGGTTAGGGACACTACCAGTGCACCACAAGAGGGTCGTCCCTTCAGATTTTCTCAAAGCTGGAATCCCGAGCAGCACCCAATTTCTGGAGAACATCTCTCTCTCTCTCTCTCTGTTTTATTATCAAACAACAGAGAGGAGCGGTGTTCATTTCTGAAGGGATACAGGGAGCAGAGACGTGAGACAGGGTCCGGGTGAAGCCGGCAGCGTCCCTACCTCTGGTTTCAGGTCTCGGTGCACCACCCCAGTGTCGTGCATGTGGCTGACTCCAGACACCAGGCTCCTCATGATTTGGCTCGCCTCCAACTCACTGAAGTGTTTCCTCTTACGGATTCGATCGAGCAGCTCACCTCCACGCAGGAGTTCCATTACCAGGTACGTGTGGAACTGGGGAAAGGCAGGGACACAGGGCTTAGGTGCCTTAAGTAGCTCAAGCAACGAAACAGAGGAATTACAAGCCCATGAAATAACACATGGAAAATACAC